TGTTCTGTAACCTCCAGAGATGGCTAACTTTTTGACTATAAATCAACCCATTGAAATAGAGAATTCGATTGTCTCAACTGAATATGTTTTTGTTTCAGTTAACGGAGGTCTTGGTACGTGGTCAGTTTAGCGAGCGTGTTCTACAACCTCCGGATATGGTGGACAAACTCGCAGAAGGGCATAAAACAACACATTGAAATAGAGAATTCAATTATTTCAACTAAATAATTATCTTTTAGTTTAACTTAATGGGGTCCTTTACGTAGCTAGCTTGGTGAGCGTGTTTTGCAAACTGCTGGGGTGGTGGACAATCTCGCACAAGAGCATAAAACAACACATTGGATAGAAAATTATATTAAATGAATAATGATGTTTTAGTTTTAGTTAACGGGGTCCTTACGAAGTCAGCTTGGAGAGCATGTTCTGCAACCTGTGGAGATGGAGTGCAAACTCGCACAAGAACATAAAACAACCAACTGAGATAGAGAATTCGATTATTTTAACTGAACATGTTTTTGTTTTACATTTATTTGAATCGTTATTCTCGTGACATGCACAAAAAATGTAAATATTTGAAAATTCGACTTTGCTTTCAATCAAAATCCCTTGTACTATTTCAGTTAAATATACTCAACGTTCTTGAATAATTACCCACAATACAATTTTTTTAGAGAACATTTTGATACCTCTTTTTCTTATTGGTCTCTTTGTTTACTTTTACATAAGAATGTACATGCTATATGACCATATTGAAAATTGAATGTATTCGAGACAATACTAAGGCATATCTATATTATAATACTTTTTGCAATAGAAAAAGGGAGGCATGGCACTGCTCAATATCCTAGATGCGAGTAGAAATAATCTTTATTTACGTTATTAAAAGTTCACAATTCAGTGAAACTGATGTCATTTTTGGAATCTACATGTAGAATTACACCTAGAAATGTGGTTTTGAAAAGAGTTTATCAACTTTGAAAATTTAATTTTCTTTAAAAATGTGACTTCTAGGTCGGGGAGATTCCCCATTGGCCCCATGTTGTAAAGCCACAAAAAGTGAAATATCTTTTCTTGTGTTGGCCAGATGATATTTTCTTTTACTGGACATATTTTAGTTTATATAACTATCACATACATAAGGATAATATGAAACGTGAACCACTAAAACGGATGAATAATCAGGTTTAAGGGGATTTTGTAATACCCTGCCATGTTATTTCCCCCGAATCAGCCACCTGGTGGCGAAACTGGTAACTACCTACTCGCATCTGAGTAATTGGAGTTCTCATGTTTATAACACAGAGTTGCATACCCTTTTCTCTCTTTAAAGCCCATGATAACGCATAAATACAATCTTACATATACATAGGGTGTCCCGAAAGTATGGTCCCCCTGTACTTATGTCCATGGCCAAACAGACCGTGCTGTTCAATGCTCTAGCATGAACAGTTAACGTCGATATGGAATATGTTAACCGTATTGTGAAACAGACTCCATAAAAAGATTACAAATATATGAGCAAGGGTGTATGAGCAAATAATTTGCAAAATGATTATTAAGAACATGGATGATTGAGAATACAACTTTTTGATTTATTTCTAAAACTTCTTCGGGTTCTTGAGTTTACCTGAAGAAGATTTAGAAATAAATCGAAGATTTGTATTCTCAATCATTTTTGATTTTTTAACACTTATTAACAATATACAAGAAAATGGATAATATTCAAAGACTCGCCTTTATCACGCAAATAGCTACTTGTGATTCCAGCTTTGGTCTACTTATAAATACCCTTAATATCGTGTGTCAAAGTAATGATGTGATACACGTAAGAATGTTAAACCAATCAAAAATGTCGACCTTGTCCGTTTCTAAATGGTTTGCTGAATTACAACGTTGACATTTTAATCAATCCATTCTACATATAAATGCCCCCCGGGGGGTTCACTCCAATATACCTCTTAATACCCATGTGCCACGCCAAATACCCCCTTTTGAACATTTTTTCCATGTCAATTTCCTCTCAAGATTGAAACTTTTCATGTATACTTCCTATCGGACTTATAAAAGGGAGTAAATTTCCTGAAATATTGGTGTGTAACTATAAAATCCACTTTTTAGGTGATTTATCCAAGACCTCGCCAACTGATTTTACCGATTTATTACCATTATTTGTAGAACAACTGATTTTTGACTTAAAAAAGGCTCTCTCTTCAACAAATTTTCCATGTTGTTTTCCTCTCAGATTGGCCAGCTTCCATGGTTTATGCCCTAAGCCAAAATTGCCCCTGCTGCACATGCCTACCCAAATTATTTAGAGTGAACCCCGGGAAAGGCCCTTAATACCGTGTGTCAAAGAAATGATGTGATAAACGTAAGAATGTAAAATCAATCAAAAACGTCGACCTTGCCCGTTTCTAAATGATTTACCGAATTACAACTTTGACATTTTGTGCATGAACAGAACATTTTATACTTTAAAACCATCATTCCATTCCACATTTTTTGCATCCTCTAGCATTCTTATTTCATACGATGTTTAAATAAATCTGAAATCCTTGTATCATATAATTACAACATGATTCCATGATTCACTTATTATATGTTTCTTATTTATGTTATTGCAGTAACCGTTGGCAAATTAAAAAGCAGCCCAATTGTTGCAAAGAGAAAGCTGCAGTCAAGCTATATAGAGGATCTTGCAGTAACATCAAGTGGACATATTGTGGTAACAGGTGGAACAGGATCCAAAACAAAGATATATGCCAGTGATTATAGTCTCATCAAAGAAATCGGCAAAAGATTCTGGTGGGTTACAGTCACAAGTGATCATCAACTGGTATTCACTGATATATCTAGCACAATCTACTTCTACACAGCAGACGGTAATCATATACGCGACATAACAGTAGGGTCTTCATATCGACTACGTGGTATTACTACACTATCTACTGGTCAGTTGGTTGTCTGCGATGATTACACAGCCAGAGTATATATTGTTGAACAAGATACAGGGAATGCAACACAACTTTCTGCTCCTGGTACGTTTAGCCGTCCTTACTATGTGACAACGAACAGCAAAGGAGTAGTTATAGTGAGTGGCCGTGAGGGACATTCTATAAAGGGATTGGACCAGGATGGTCAAGTACTCTTCAGTTATGGTACATACGGATCAGGGAAGGGGCAGTTGGCATATCCACGTGGTGTCGACACAGATAAGGAGGACTACATTGTGGTAGCAGACGCAAGCAACGACAGAGTACTACTACTCACCCCTGATGGCATGTTCCATAGTTACCTCCTAACAGAGAGTGATGGTTTGTCCAAGCCACGTGCTGTTTGTATAAACCAAACCGGACAGTTACTGGTTGGGGATAGCAATGGACAATTATTCACTATCACATACAGAGAATAAGGTAAATTTAACACAATGACAACTAACAGATTAATATTGCACGATACATGATACTGCAATATTACACATAATTATTATTGTACACAAAGTCATGATGCTATTTCAATTCGATTCGAATTAGCAGGATCGGATTGATTGATATTATGCTGTATATACATGACATTGCTCTGCCCATGGTATAAGAATAAAATAGTTTTTTGGGGGAGGGGTATAAATAGTAAAAAACGCATTAGGTGAATCGCAAACCAGTAACTATGATTCATACTTTTTCTTTTTTAACCGTTTGCATTATATTTATTTGATGATTCTTGGAACGAAATTGATGTATTTTAAAATGCAAAAATATTAAATTGCATGTTGGCTTTGTGTTTCAGTCCAAACCCGATGACAGAAATGAGATTTGAAGATGGCCAACAATTTCAACAACACGAAGCTATCAAAGGCACATATTTACATTATCGTATCCTAGTGCCAACACACTCTGACGATTGAACAATGAATATGTGGAACAGTCATTGATTGTTGTATGAACAACGTAGTAACTACATAACTTCACAATAACAATGACTTTACAATAACAATGACTATACATTATTGTATAAAACATAAATTTAATTGAATGCAATGTAATGTACAAAACTATGAGTTTATTGTATAAATCATTAACGTTATTGTACTAAACAGCAATTTATTGTTCAGAACTATAAGTATATTTTATAAAGCATAATTTAAAAAAATACACTGTACAGAACTATGAATTTATTATATGAATCATTACAAACACAATCATTCCAAAATGAGATATTTTGTCCAACACTACAAGCTTATTGTACTGAACAACAATGCAATGTGCAGAAGTATAAGTGTATTGTATAATACATAATCATTCTGAAATGCAATTTATTGTACAAACTATGAGTTTATTGTACTGAACAACAATGTATTCTGTAGAACTAGTGTATTGTATGAGATATAATCATTCTGAAATGCAATTTATTGTACAAAACTATGTGTTTATTGTATTAATCATTAACATTATTGTACTACAACAATGTAGAGCTATAAGTGTATTGTATGAAACATAATCATTCTGAAATGCAAATTATTGTACAAAACTATGTGTTTATTGTATTAATCATTAACATTATTGTACTACAACAATGTAGAGCTATAAGTGTATTGTATGAAACATAATTATTCTGAAATGCAAATTATTGTACAAAACTATGTGTTTATTGTACTAATCATTAACATTATTGTACTACAACAATGCAGAACTATAAGTGTATTGTATGAGATATAATCATTCTGAAATGCAATCTACTGTACAAAACTATGCGTTTATTGTACTGAACAACAATGTAGTGTGCAGAACTATAAGTGTATTGTATGCAACATAATCATACTGAAATGCAATGTACAGTACTATGAATTTATTGTTTTAATCATTACTATTATTGTACTGAACAACAGTTCATTGTGCAGAATTATAAGTCCATTGTATTGAATATCACAATCATATATTGCATACATGGCAATGGAATAACTTGTTACTTGCGACAAATTGTCCATTTGAAATAACATGAATTTAGGACCTGTATAATAGCATGCGTTCACAACAAGTCTGACCAACTAATTTTGCATACTGTAAAACTTCATCTTGGTCGCATACATTTTCTCCTACAGCTTTGTATATCATATATGGCATTGCCTGCCTCAAATAGAGCACCAGAACATTGTCAAGTTCTATAGTCCCATTTGTATCTCCTGACAGCACAAATATATGTTGTAATGAATTTGATGTTTGGCCCATAACAAAAGTTTTCTTTTAATTTACCATTTTGGGTAGTAACACGTAAGAACATTTTTGTTATGGATCAAGTAACCTACCCAATGAATTTTGTCATTGTATTTTAATATTATTTTGGTGATAAATATGTATTTTGTAAATAAATGTATATTGATGCGCATTCTGGGTTATGCCACACATATAACACGCCCATAGTCAGGCAGGTGGAGTGGGTGTGGTTGTGTTCTATAAAATTATTTTATTATAAGTACATCAATATTATGATAACTAATGCATATACACAACGGTTTTAACCTATATAAATATATTATTCAATATTTAAATGTATGAATTTTCAAAACTGAAAATAGTGAAAAAATGATGCCCTGATAGCCACCACAAGAGAATGAATTCTGCCTCGCTATTCAAAGTTGCCTCCTCTGTATTTTGCCTCTTCTGTATTTTGCCTCACCTGTATTTTGCCTCTTCTGCATTTTGCCTCTTCTGTATTTTGCCTCTTCTGCATTTTGCCTCACCTGTATTTTGCCTCCTTTGTATTTTGCCTCACCTGTACTTTGCCTCCTCTGTACTTTGCCTCGCCTTTGTTTTGCCTCATCTGTATTTTGCCTCACCTGTATTTTGCCTCTTCTGTATTTTGCCTTACCTGTATTTTGTCTAACCTGTATTTTGCCTCACCTGTATTTTGCCTCCTCTGTTTTTTGCCTCATTTTTATTTTGCCTCACCTGTATTTTGAATAATCTGTATTTTGCGTCATCTGTTTTTTGCCTCACCTGTGTTTTGCCTCACCTGTGTTTTGCCTCTTCTGTATTTTGCCTCACCTGTACTTTGCCTCCTCTGTACTTTGCCTCGCCTTTGTTTTGCCTCATCTGTATTTTGCCTCACCTGTATTTTGCCTCTTCTGTATTTTGCCTTACCTGTATTTTGTCTAACCTGTATTTTGCCTAACCTGTATTTTGCCTCCTCTGTTTTTTGCCTCATTTTTATTTTGCCTCACCTGTATTTTGAATAATCTGTATTTTGCCTCAGCTGTTTTTTGCCTCACCTGTATTTTGCCTCTTCTGCATTTTGCCTCCTCTGTATTTTGCCTCACCTGTATTTTGAATAATCTGTATTTTGCCTCCTCTTTACTTTGCCTCATTTGCATTTTGCCTTACCTGTATTTTTCCTCACCTGTATTTCGCCTCATCTATTTCAATTTGCCTAACCTATTTATTTTAACTAATTCTGCTTATTTAAATTTGGCTTATTATCAGGACTTTTGGCCAGTTGAATTGAACTTGATTTTTCAAGATTATCGTTATGAATTCATATGAGGCTATTGTATGAGTGGCATAATCAATTGATAATGATTGATTCAATTGTACTTTTTCAAAAATGTATGTAAATAATTGTTTTAACATTATTTAAGGAATAAAGACCAAGATTTTATGATTCATGGTGTCATGACAAAAATGTTATTCTGTTCATTGTTAAAAGACTGAAATCGCTTATATTGAGGTCTTTGGGAATAGAATGGCCTGAATAAAATTTGAGGTCATCTATTTGACATAAATCATTAAATTAAAATTTTAGCGGTTATACATATTCCAATATAGACCAGTAAATCAATTGTTCTAGCTATTGTGATGTCACGTATCATTTTAGAATATAGATGATATAATTCAAAATAAAAATGTTTTGTTACAATTGTGATGTCAAGCAGTTACCCCATGCGATACACTGTGACAATACGAATTATAATATTCAAACATTGAGAAAAAAACAGAAAGAAAAAACACTTTAATTAGATTTTGGATTGGAATCAAAAACTCTTTGATATATCGATGTCATCATCAGTCATTTTCTTGGACCTTAGGACAGTTTATTTTCCACATAATGTGGTTCTTATGCTATTCAAACGCTGAAAAAAAAGAAAGAAAAAACTATTTACTCAGATTTTGAGGGGGGGTGAACTATGTGTACCTTTATCAGTTAATACATAATAATAAGAGAATATTGAATTCTTCAGTTAACATTCTGGCGCTAGGAACAGTAGATATAGATGAATTGCTATATAGCTGAATGAAGCTAAAAAGATGTCAGCACTTGTTTATTATTTATTTTGATGGGCCATAGACTGGACTGCCATAGTCTTAGAAAAGTTGAAAACTGATGGAAATTGATTGAAATAACATAACTGTGTAAATCAAAGTTATCATCAGAGAAAACTTTTCACTGAATTCAAATATGTCATTAAAAAGAAGGAAAACAAAGACATTAAAGGTTTCATATGCAAATCTCCTAAAATTACACGAAAATGAGAACAAGTGACATTTCAAAATCCGCATTAATTTTACAAGGGTTTCCCTGAATACAAAATATATGCGCAATGGGGATGGGAGCACATACTTTTGTCAGTAGCAGCAAATCTGGAGTATTTGTTGACATCTAGTTTAGGCGTGCATTCTGGCACTGGGAACAATAGATAGATATATCTACTGGCACAAGTTTTACAAGAAATGGATATAGAGGGGGGTTCCCTTGATACAAAATATATGAGCAATGGGGATGGGAGCACATACTTTTGTCAGTAGCAGCAAATCTGGAGTATTTGTTGACATCTAGTTTAGGCGTGCATTCTGGCACTGGGAACAATAGATATATCTATCTACTGGCACAAGTTTTACAAGAAATGGATATAGAGGGGGGTTCCCTTGATACAAAATATATGAGCAATGGGGATGGGAGCATATACTTTTGTCAGTAGCAGCAAATCTGGAGTATTTGTTGACATCTAGTTTAGGCGTGCATTCTGGCACTGGGAACAATAGATATATCTATCTACTGGCACAAGTTTTAGAAGAAATGGATATAGAGGGGGGTTCCCTTGATACAAAATATATGAGCAATGGGGATAGGAGCACATACTTGTCTCAGTAGCAGCAAATCTGGAGTATTTGTTGACATCCAGTTTAGGCGTGCATTCTGGCACTGGGAACCACAGGTAGCTTTCTGGGCACAGGAGATATGATCCAGCATACTTTCCCTGAAAACACATAGATAAAAAATGTTGGATAATGTAAAAAATGTTGATATATTAGTGTCATCATCAGTCATTGTCTAAGACCTTGTTGGGGCAATCTACTTTCCACATATGGACTTTAATCAATTAAAACGACAATTTTAAAACAGACTCATCATTATATCAGCCTGACCCATGACTCTCAATCTGACCCATGATTTGCATGCTGACCCATGGTTGTTAATCTGACCCATAATTCCCAATTTGACAAATAAATCTAATTATTACCACCCTGACTTATGATTCTACACTTGACCAAGGATTCAATCTGAACCATGATTCTCAATCTGACCCATGATTCTCAACCTTTCCCATGGTTCTCAATCTGACCCATGATTCTCAACCTTTCCCATGATTCTGTGACCCATAATTTGCAATTTGACTAATGAATCTATTTTCCACCCTAACTATTTACCACTCTATTTACCACTCATTATTCTACACTTGATCAAGGGTTCAATCTGACCCGTGATTCCTAATCTGACCCATGATTCTTAACCTGACCAATGGATCTTAATCTGATCCATAATTTTCAATTTAACTAATCACTTTATATATTTACCATTATTTACCATTCATTATTCTACACTTGACCAAAGATTCAATCTGACCCATGATTCTCAATCTGACCCATGATTCTCAAGCTGACCCATGATTCTTATTCTGACCCATAATTTGCAATTTGACTTATGAATCTAATTACCAACCTATCTATTTACCACTCATTATTGTACACTTGATCAAGGATTCAATCTGACCCATGATTCTCAATCTGACCCATGATTCTCAATTTGACCCATGATTCTCAACCTGACCGATGATTCTTAATCTGACCCATAATTTGCCATTTGACTAATGAATCTATTTACCACCCTACCTATTTACCACTCTATTTACCACTCATTATTGTACAATTGATCAAGGATTCAATCTGACCCATGATTCTCAATCTGACCCACGATTCTCAATCCGACCCAGGAGTCTCAATCTGACCATTGATTCTTAATCTGACCCATAATTTGGAATTTGACTAATGAATCTTTTTTACCACACTATTTACCATTCATTATTCTTAACTTGACCATGGATTCAATTAGACCCATAATTCTCAATCTAACCCATGAGTCTCAATCTGACCCATGATTCTCAGCATGACCCATGATTCTTAATCTGATCAATAATTTGCAAATTGACTAATGAATCTATTTACCACCCTATCTATTAACCACTCTATTTACCACTCATTTTTCTACACTTGACCAAGGATTCAATCTGACCTATGATTCTCAAGCTGACCGATGATTCTTAATTTGACCCATAATTTGCAATTTGACTAATGAATCTATTTACCACCCCATCTATTTACCACTCTATTTACTATTCATTATTCTAAACTTGACCATGGATTCAAATGGACCCATAATTCTCAATCTGACCCATAATTCTTAATCTGACCCATGATTCTCAATCTGACCCATTATTTGCAATTTGAGTTATGAATGTAATTATCAGCCTGACTCATAATTATGAACCTGACCTATGATTCAACACCTGACCCATGATTCTCAATCTGACCCATAATTCCAAATCTGACACATGATTCTCAATCTGACCCATGATTCTTAACCCGACCCATAATTCTCAATCTGACCCATGATGCTCAATCTGACCCATTATTCTTAACTTGATCCATGATTCTCAATCTGACCCATAATTCCCAATCTGACCCATGATTTTCAATCATGATTCAACACCTGACCCATGATTCTTAATCTGACCCATGATTCTCAATCCGACCCGTGATTCTCAACCTGACCCATGATTCTCAATCTGACCCATAATTCCCAATCTGACCCATGATTCTCAATCTGACCCATGCTTCTTTACTGACCCATAATTCTCAATCTGACCCATGATTCTCAATCTGACCCATTATTCTTAACTTGATCTATGATTCTCAATCTGACCCGTAATTCCTAATCTGACCCATGATTCTCAATCTGACTCATGATTCAACACCTGACCCATGATTCTCAATCTGACCCATGATTTTCAACCTGACCCATGATTCTCAACCTAAGCTATGATTCTCAACCTGACCCATGATTCTCAATCTGACCCATAATTCCCAATCTGACCCATGATTCTCAATATGACCCATGATTCTTAACCTGACCAAAATTCTCAATCTGACCCATGATTCTCAATCTGACCAATTATTCTAAACTTGATCCATGATTCTCACTCTGACCAATAATTCCCAATCTGACCCATGATTCTCAATCAGACTCATGATTCAACACCTGACCCATGATTCTCAATCTGACTCATGATTCAACACCTGACCCATGATTCTCAATCTGACCCATGATTCTCAATCCAACCCGTGATTCTCAACCTGACCCATAATTCTCAATCTGACTCATAATTCCCAATCTGACCCATGATTGTCAATCTGACCCATGATTCTTAACCTGACCCATAATTCTCAATCTGACCCATGATTCTCAATCGGACCCATTATTTTTAACTTGATCCATGATTCTCAATCTGACCCAAAATTCCCAATCTGACCCATGATTTTCAATCTGACTCATGATTCAACACCTGACCCATGATTCTCAATCTGACCCATGATTCTCAATCCGACCCGTGATTCTCAACCTGACCCATGATTCTCAATCTGACCCATAATTCCCAATCTGACCCATGATTCTCAATCTGACCCATGCTTCTTTACTGATCCATAATTCTCAATCTGACCCATGATTCTCAATCTGACCCATTATTCTTAACTTGATCCATGATTCTCAATCTGGCTCATTATTCTCAACCTCAACCATAATTTTCAAGAAGATACATTATCATTCAAAGTAAAATACAACCAGGCCTTTGTGGAGACATCATGAATGCTAGACATTTAAAAACATTTGACGATCCACATTGAGCTGTACATACCGCAGATTCTCTACTACATATACCATAGCCCCATGCCTAAGCCATGTTACCACCGACCAAGCTCACGGTATCATGGGGTTTGGTTAGTACCTGTGTGGTAATAGCACAGTAACATTTACCTTGTTAACCATCTTTGGACAGGAGTGTATGTAGAAGCCCATGTAGTAGTGTTCTATTCCATATTTTCTCAGCTGACTTGTGAATGCAATCTCCCTGAAAATATGTATTGGTATAATTGACTACATGCGAACCTGTCTAATCTGAACACCACTATGACCGCTATATCCTCACTATATGTATTCGGTATGGGAAACAAACTATTCTTGCCTCAGAAGCGGAACATTTAGTATTGGTGGTTTATACTCTACGATACTAAATATCGTTTGAACTATTCTCCTATTGTTCTTAAGAGCCAGGAAAAGTAGGATATAAGTACATAGAAAAGATGAGTATAGTATGTATTACGTAATCTAAAAACAAACTATACGCCTCTTATACGCGAGGCTATATATTCTTTGATGTGCATTAGTTTGCTTGGAGTTAATCCTATTTTATTTTACAATTAAGCGCTAATGTAAACAAATAAAATCATGCATTTCACGTACTAGTAATCGAACTTAATGTCTTAGATCTCATTTAAAATTTTATGATGTTGAAGTATATGATTTTAAATGAACGTAACCATTTTAAAAATGTAAGTCAATACAAAAAGTGGAATGAAAAATTTGGGTATATTTCAAATAATAATCGGTAAACCCTTTATTCTCCGTTTTGAGAATGTAAGGATGTACTTTGAACATCATAAATAATGCGCCAAATTGAACTATACTAATGCGCCAGATTGAGCTTTTTAATATATTGATGAAGTTAGAGCATATCACATACTATGTCCCAAATTGAAACATACTAGTGAGCCAAGTTTAACCTTTCAATGTAAGGATGTACTTTGAACATCATAAATAATGCGCCAAAAACAGGATCTTAAGAGGTTCTGGACAAATCATTTGATTCTGGACTTGACATATTTTTTTTTCCAACGAAATCACATCCAAGGGTTGAATTTTTATAAGCTACGTGTATTTAGAGAATGAGTCCTGAGAAGTATTAATTTCAAAAAAGTTAAAATAGAACCCTAATTGAGAGTTAATCTAAAACTTACATTACATTGATAAATTAGGGCAAATCCTGTAAATCCAATCCAGTATTTTTTAAGTGCATTTTCAATGAAATATTATCCAAGTATTTAGATGAAACGGTCTTATTCAAATACAAATAATAACATGATGATATTTTTTCATAAAATATTTTTCCATGAAATTCAATTGAAGGGTCAAGATCAACGAGCTAATTTAGATGAAAACCCTTACATAATGATGTGTTTTCATGACTTCTTTTATAAAATTCCATCAAGGGGTGAAGATAAAATGATCGAATTTATTTAAGGATCACGAGGATATGTTTTCTTGAATATTTTTTTTATGAAATCCCATCCAATGGTCAATGTAAAATTTTGATTTTGATCTGGTATTTTTGGTCACGTGTTCGAAAGATCCATATAAGGCCCGTAGAACCATATAGGAACGTCATTTTGAATGTCACGTGATAGATCCATATAAGGCTTCTAGAACCATGTCGGGAAAGATGAGGGGAAGCCCTCCGACACCTGTTTCACGATTTTATCCGAACGTTGTTCGGGTCATTTAGGTTTTTGTGCACTTCATTATTCTACCGAAGTTATTCTACCATTATTCTACCGAAGCCGATTTGATTCGTCGTATTTCGGAATCCTGGTGACAATTTTATACTCCACTTGGAGTATTTTTGATCTACTTCTTATGACGAAAATTCCCGAACCTTGTTCGGATTAATCCGGATTTTCTGACCTACTTTATCTTCCGAGATTTCGCGAGTTAACATTCGTCTCATTTCGGAATCCTGGTGACAATTTTATACTCCATTGGAGTATTTTTGATCTGCTTCTTATGACGAATATTCCCGAACCTTGTTCGGATTATTCCGGATTTTCTGACCTACTTTATCTACCGAGATTTAACGAGTTAACATTCGTCTCATTTCGGAATCCTGGTGACAATTTTATACTCCATTGGAGTATTTTTGATCTACTTTTTCTCGATTTTGCTCTACTTATTATAGTTTGACAACAAGCAAATCAAAAAATTCGACATGAATGGGTCTCGATCGACTAACCTACGGCGTGGAAGCTAGGCACGTAACCCATGAGGCCAAGGTGCTACCGATATGAAAGGACGAAAGTATTATATATTTATACCGAGCGTCAATTCAAAATGATCTTCACTTTTGACTCCACTTAACAGGCGTATAGCCTTTTTATTTTTTCGTGAAGCCACTCGGTAAAAATACGATTTCTCTGCAACCTGATGTCCAATCAAGATCTATGTGTTTCTGACACGTTTGGGCGTCCGGGAATAGCAAGGTCTACACAAAGTTTGCACGCGAAATTGACGTAATTCATGACCGAAATCGGGAAGACAAAATTTGAGATTCACAACAAAATTGCTTGTGAAAACTATTTACAAAAGTGTCCTAGAGACTCTAATCACTGCGTCAAAAGTGAAATTCCAAGCAATTTCTAGACGTGCAAAGATAGTCTAGGAACTCCGCGTATCTAGAGATTCCAAGACGTGTCAAGAGGTGCAAAGACCTCGCGTGTAAAGAGCGTGTCAAGAGTTTTGATATCTCTTTGCACAGCCTTATCAAAACAAACAGTATAATTAGACTGGCCACATGTTGTTATGCCCTATAGTCGCGCTTTACTTTACTAGGATTGGAATATAACAATCATTTTAATTTCGTGTTAATAATAATTTGTGTTTTTTAAATCATTATCAAAATAAAATTAATTTAAAAGTATGAGTGTGCGTGTAAGTATAGGCAATAGCTTAGTCGGAATGAGTAGATGTGTGCAGATGGAGATCGCCTATGTATTTTGCTAAATCTGACATTTTTACAGGATCATGTTAAAGATCAAATGAAAACACGAAATGTGTTTTTCTTAGGTTTATCTACCCTGATTTCGAGTGATTTTAACTTGGACGCATATTCCTAGATATTAAAACAGTTTGAATAATTAACAAAGTCCACTTTGAACCGTGTCAATCAAATTATCAATTGTCAAATATGTAGATAGCACATGCAGGCCCGAATACAGGGGGGATAGATTGGTTCTAGCGACCCCCCCCCCCTCCGTGACCAAAATTGCATTTTTTACCCCATACTGAGCACCTTTTAAATTATTTTGCTCATTTTTGAACTAACATTGCCAAAATTAAACTCCCCCTGGAATTTCTTAAAAAAGTAACCCACCCCTTGGCAAATCCTGGCTATGGGTCTGAAACGCCTGAAACATGCTCTGATATAATGAGGCATATTCTGTGATCTGAGCATATCAGATGGGAAGAGTTATGAATGTCAATAAGTGTGATTGTTATCATGTAATCATCTACCTTAATGTCAATACATTACATAATGTAGTAAGGCATTGTACATGTATTTAACAACAGGCACATCCTTCTTCAAAGGACTTCATTTATACTTGTAAAATACCCTTCCAGCGAGGATGCAACAGGCACAGTTACACAAGTTTTATGACCCCAATTAGATGAAATATGAGCTGGGATGAAAGATCTCAAAAATCAAGGGCTGGGAAGATTTGAGATGTCATGGTTTACTATCATGACGCTGAAACATGTGTTGCTTATTGTCACCTGTATTGATCATGAATGGGCGACGGCAGTGCCCCGAGTCTTTTTGATCTGTTTAATCTTATTAGTTACTATTTAAAATTGAATAATTTAGGACCCCGGAAGCAAAACAACTCTTTGTTATGAAAGGAATACACCACCCACATGGACAGAACCCCTCATGTAAACCATCTATAAATACCTTTGAAATCAATTTGATTTTCGACCTACATCTGAATCTCAGATGGAGAGTACTCTTTGACAAGATCAACATTTAAAAGTGTAGGAAAGTTTTGATAAAGATATTTAATAGCTAATTATTCAGACATATTGTTCTTTCATGTTGACGATCATCGAACATAATTGCAATCAACTTCCATGATATTTGCAATTTTGAATTATTTTGAATGCAAATGTACTCAAGTACTATATCCTGAGTTCTGCCCGGATCCCCGAAAACGTTTAAAATCAAACTCGATTATTTAGCTAGACTTCAAAATAAGGCATTCAATAGAAACATGAAATCCATATCACTGTATAAATTGTGGAATTTCTAGTAATTTTTAGACGTGCTTAGCCGGTCTAGAAACTCTGCGTATCTAGAGATATTGACCAGGGCCTACACCAATATTCTTAACACCACTTATTAAAGGATGCATGCATCAAGGGGTAGACATCATTCAAAAGACATAAACATGACCGGGTCGGTCAGGGGAAGGTTTGCATACGATGCAATTTGTACATGCAAGCTCATTTTTCATATATAAATTAATAAAGTCGATTCCTTGGGAATACGTTATTGGGTTTATAAGCGTAACGAGGAGAAGCGATGGGTTCGCACCCCCTCCTACAAGCAATAAGAGGTACCATAAGGTAGAGGAAGAAAAAAGCATTAAATTGATTTTTTGTTTGAAGCTTCTAGCTCAGGTTTGAAGGAAGTTGCATCATTTTCGTAAAAATTCAAAACAAATATTTTTTGCCTCATTTATGTCACGATCGCACCCCCGACTGAAAACCTAAAATATTTTGGTGATTGCATCACCCCTCCCCCCGACTGAAAGCTGGCTACGGCCCTGGGGTTTTATCGAAAACTATATCGTCAACATTTTATCATTATGCGGAAAGTCCAATATGAAATCTTAAATGGTAAATATGTTGCATTTATGGAGGGAATTCCACTGTAAACTATAATGTGAATGTTTGATATGAATACTTCCATGCAACCATCAATATCCATTCTTTTGAAATAAGATGTTACAACAAAGGGAATATTGAAAACTACAGTGGTAAGAGCATCTTTCTGACTGCTAATTATGTGTATCAACATTTTGATTGCACCTCAGCTGGAGATTAAATCTTATAATAATTTGATCAAAGGGATTGCAATTTTCCCCAATTCGCTTATCTATGTTACAATCTGTATACTTGTTATATTGTGAGCGGTATGTGTTGATAAACCAAAAAGATATGTTTTTTGGATATCAACATTTT